TTGGCTGCAGTGAATGCTAAAAAAAAAAAAAAAAAAAAGATTGTAAAGGAGTGCAAGTATAGTCAGTTCCCCATATTTGCTGGGGTAAGTAAGGAAGAAACACTAGATGACCTACAGATTCTTATAGAGAACATATTAAACAAATCCACCTATAATCAAATCTGCAAAGATCAAGCCTGCAAACATGAAGGGGCCAAGTGTATTCTAACAAGCATGTACTGCAACCCAGCTGGGTTGACACTGCAGTCTCCACATGAAAAAACCATTGAGTCATCTTTGAGACAGGAAAGGAGCATGCATTACTTGAACATTCAAGATGCCCATGTAGCTCATAACCCAGGACAGCAAGCAAATATTAAGCAAGGAGCCGATCATGTACTTGGGTAAAGACTCTTCAGTAAACTCTCAGCAGTTAAATGTCGCCCACCATCATTTTCTCATTCCTTTAGAGCAGATAGCCAATTTCAAACAGGCACACCACACCTCCCTTTTTAAAGGCTTGAGAACGGACAGTTAATGAAAGAAAATAGACCTGAAGTGCCCTTCCAGGCCCCTGTATAAAATCCAATTATCTGTTTTGAACTGGGTTATATGGCAGTATAGACTCAGATAATCCAATTCAAAGCAGATAATATGAATTATCTGCCTTGATCTTCTGGATTATATGACAGTATAGAAGAGCCCCCAGAGAGATTCTTAAGTGTCCAAAAGAAAAAACTTCTTAACTGAGGTCTGGGAGTATGTGTTTCCCATGAGAAACCCCTAAGTAGTTTCACAGGCAGCTTGTTCCTGACGGAAGAAATCACATTAGTACCACTTTTAAGACACTTTCAAACTTGCAATCCTTGCTGTTCAACACTATAGGAGTTGGACAGCATATAGTTTCCTCCCAGTTACATTCAACATGATGAATGTGAAGTGCCCCAATCTCAACTTAATGTTTCCAAATGCACATTCCCCCTCTGTTCTGCTACAAGGGTTTGTCTGAAAATGATCCTCTGAATGGCCTCAAAAGGTGTGGCTCCACCATAAACCAGGCAAATAAAATACTGGATTGGAGATCATTTCAGCCTAACCTTCACAGATCACATGGGCAGTCTGACTGTCAGTGTTCATTCTTTACTCCAACAAACCAGAATTAACACTGACATATAACTATAAATTTAAACCATTAAAACTATTAAACGTAGGCATATACAACATGTAAACACTAAGATAAAGCATCAAAAACATCCTCATATAAATATGATCCAAAAAGATGGTAGAATCCAAGCATGACAACAAGTCACAATCTTGACTCTAGGCCAAACTGACAGCGTAATTTTGAAGGTCTCCTCCAGCTCCCAAATACCATAAACAGAAGTCACACTTGGCAAATGGTTTTTTTTAAAACTAGGGCACATGATCCAATGGCAGCCCTTGCAGTAAGAAAGTTTCTTAAAGGGCAAGGAATCTTAGCTTCCTATTATGCCTCTTGCTTCTTGTATAAAACTATTCAAGAAAGCAGAAGTGTATTCATGCAATCCTAGCCACATAGTTTGCCAAAGGGAAAATCGGTTGCTCCTTACCCAAGTTGCTCCATCCAGGAAAGGCTTTTTAAAAACCTTCTTAGCTTATACTACGGTACTAATTATTTATTGTCTACTCACATTACTTCCATTTTATATGCCCTTCAGGCGCTAACCTTACACAAAAGAATAGTCACTGTGACTTTTCAAATGTAATCTCTTCAAGACATTATGTTCTAGGATGGCACTTTATTTTGTCAAAGAAGATTAAAAGATACAGGTCTTTCTGCAGCACAGGAGGATGAGAATGGTCCTCCTGTGCTGTTGCGCAGACTTCGCAAAGTATGTAGTAATCACATCAGGGCTTTTTCTCCAAATGTTCTGTGAACCTTCCATACTGACACCTAAAATCTTGCCTTACAATGTTAACTGGTTTTGATCGCTGATTGAGTCAACTACATGACCCACTGTGTTTGTGCACTTAATACAAGGGTATCTTTTGTTTTCTCTGCTGAAGAATCAGCAGAGAAAAGCCTTTGTTTTACTGCAATGTTTTTGAAACACCAAATAGATATGAGAACCTATTAGTATGTAAGGTAAAAGCCATCACTGAGTTCCATTTGAGGTTCTATGGTTGACGTCTGCTAGAAGTTGATCAAAGAATTGTACTCGAAGAGCTAGAGATTTCTAGAGAGAAACATCAAATATAATCCATGAACAATCAAATCTGCAAAAGTCAAAACCACCAAGGGCCCCATCACACTAGCCTTTAAGGACTGCAATTTCATAGGACATTAAGGGAAACATATCCTAAAGGCACTAGAGTCTGTCTGATCTTGGAAGCAGAATGGTTAGGATCTGGAAGGGAGACTGCCAAGCACTACAGATGAAACCACCTCTGATCACTCCTTGCCTGAGAACTCCTCAAGAAATCTATGGGGTGGTCATAAATTGACAGTTGATACACATTCAGAGAGCTACAGCACTTTTCCAAATTACAAATCCAAGGATGATACATACTGCATCCTAGGAAGACAACTGCCTGGAGTCCCCTTGGAGAGAGGAGGTTGTCTAGAAATAAAGCATTATTGTAATTACTGTTATTATTATATCCCAGGGCAAAAAGTATGCACCCTGAGGCTGGATAAGTCTACAGTGTATGAGTCTACACTGCCGCACAATCCAGTTCAAAGCAGACAAACTGGATACGGAAACCGGATTATATGGCAGTGAAGATGAGACCCACAAGAGCATTAAAGAGGAGGAAGCAGGTGTCTCTTCAAGAAAAATAGAGAAGCAGCATTAAGAAAAGTGCTGAGAAAGAAAGGCTGGGAAGCTTGACCAGGGCTCTTTCCACACAGCTGTATAAAATCCACATTGAACTGGATTATATATATGGCAGTGTGGACTCAGGGCCCTTCCATACAGCCATATAATCCAGAATATCAAGGCAAAAGATCCCACCAAATTTCCTTTGAATTGAGATATCTGAGTCCACACTTCCATCTATTCCAATTCAAAGCAGATAATGTGGGATTTTATTCAGTTGTGTGGAAGGAGCCTCGGTTATATTGGGAGTCCATACTGCCATATATCCCAGTTCAAAGCAGAAAATGTCAGATTTTATTCAACAGTGTGGAGGAGGCTTCAGATAACCCAGTTCAAAGCAGATATTGTGGGATTATCTGCCTTGATATTCTGGGTTATATGGCTGTGTAGTAGGTCTACGTCTATACTAGTATATAATCCAATTCAAAGCAGATATTGTGGGATTATCTGCCTTGATATTCTGGGTTATATGGCTGTGTAGCAGGCCTACGTCTATACTAGTATATAATCCAATTCAAAGCAGATATTATGGGATTATCTGCCTTGATATTCTGGGTTATATGGCTGTGTGGTAGGCCTACGTCTATACTAGTATATAATCCAATTCAAAGCAGATATTGTGGGATTATCTGCCTTGATATTCTGGGTTATATGGCTGTGTGGTAGGCCTACGCCTATACTAGTATATAATCCAATTCAAAGCAGATATTGTGGGATTATCTGCCTTGATATTCTGGGTTATATGTCTGTGCTAGTATATAATCCAATTCAAAGCAGATATTGTGGGATTATCTGCCTTGATATTCTCGGTTATATGGCTGTGTGGTAGGTCTACGTCTATGCTAGTATATAATCCAATTCAAAGCAGATATTGTGGGATTATCTGCCTTGATATTCTCGGTAATATGGCTGTGTAGTAGGCCTACGTCTATACTAGTATATAATCCAATTCAAAGCAGATATTGTGGGATTATCTGCCTTGATATTCTGGGTTATATGGCTGTGTGGTAGGCCTACGTCTATACTAGTATATAATCCAATTCAAAGCAGATATTGTGGGATTATCTGCTTTGATATTCTGGGTTATATGGCTGTGTGGTAGGCCTACGTCTATGCTAGTATATAATCCAATTCAAAGCAGATATTGTGGGGTGATCTGCCTTGATATTCTGGGTTATATGGCTGTGTGTAGGCCTATGTCTATGCTGGTATATAATCCAATTCAAAGCAGATATTGTGGGTTATATGGCTGTGAGGTAGGCCTACGTCTATGCTGGTATATAATCCAATTCAAAGCAGATATTCTGGGTTATATGGCTGTGTGGTAGGCCTACGTCTATGCTGGTATATAATCCAATTCAAAGCAGATATTGTGGGATTATCTGCCTTGATATTCTGGGTTATATGGCTGTGTGGTAGGCCTACGTCTATGCTAGTATATAATCCAATTCAAAGCAGATATTGTGGGATTATCTGCCTTGATATTCTCGGTAATATGGCTGTGTAGCAGGCCTACGTCTATACTAGTATATAATCCAATTCAAAGCAGATATTGTGGGATTATCTGCCTTGATATTCTGGGTTAAATGGCTGTGTGGTAGGCCTACGTCTATGCTGGTATATAATCCAATTCAAAGCAGATATTATGGGATTATCTAATTTGATATTCTGGGTTATATGGCTTGTGTGGAAGGGGCCCGAGTCCACACTGCCATATAACCCAGTTCTAAGCAGATACTGTAGGATCTCCTGCCTTAATATTCTGGGTTATATGGCTGTGTGGAAGGACCCTGAGTCTTTCAATTGGGAAGGCTTCAGTCAGGCCTAACCCTTTACCTGAGGGTGGGGGCGTTGCTATAGCAACAGCGGCCTAGTCCGAGGCTTCACTACCACCAAGGAGGCAGCTCTCCTCCCTCAGCGGCGACCAAGCCTCCTATTTGGTTAGAACCGCCGCTCCGTCTCTTCCCCTCTCCTTCTCCCCGGCTTTTCCGCCTCCTCACCTGGCCAAGCGCCCGCCCGGACCCTCCAGGCCCCGTCCTGTAATCGACAAGCTTCCAGGACAAGCCAGCAGCGCGTGAGCTTCCGCCCCTGGCCGCAAAGGCTCCTGGGAAGTCGAGTTCGGACGCCGGGGAAAGACAGGAAGTGACGACAAGAGCGAGGCCGGAAAGTTGCGAGTAGACAACACAAACCGGAAGTGGGCTGTGGAAGGCAGATTTGAGGCTTCTGGAGCTGTTCCTCGTGCGTTTCTGAGGGGAAGATGGGCGAGGAAGAGGAGAAGAGGAAGCCGCCGTCTCTGCAGATGGTGAGGGAGGGAGGGCAGTGTGACTCCTGCTTTCGCCTTTTAGCACAGTATCTGCATGTGACTAACTTTCCTTTCTCTGAATCATGCCTTCCATATCAGAATGTGTGTGTATCAGGCATGGGCAAACCTGGGCCCTCCAGGTGTTTTGGATTTCAATTCCCAGCATTCCTCACGGCCTCAGGCCCCTGAGGCCGTGAGGAATGCTGGAAATTGAAGTCCAAAACACCTGGAGGGCCCAGGCCCAGGTTTGCCCATGCCTATTTATTTGTCGTGTCAGAGCAACCAGTCCATTATATTACATTTCTAACAGAACAAAGCAAACAAACAGAAAAATACACAACTGAGTTTGGTAGTTGGTTAAATGTCCTTTGACCAGTATCTGGCCACTTGGAGTGCCTCTGGTGTTGCTGCAAGAAGGTCCTCCCTTGTGCATGTGGCAGGGCTCAGGTTGCATTGCAGCAGGTGGTCAGTGGTTTGCTCTTCTCCACACTCGCATGTCGAGGATTCCACTTTGTGGCCCCATTTCTGAAGGTTGGCTCTGCATCTCGTGGTGCCAGAGCGCAGTCTGTTCAGCGCCTTCCAAGTCGCCCAGTCTTCTGTGTGCCCAGGGGGGAGTCTCTCATTTGGTTCTGTGAGGTTCTGGTTTTGAGCCTGCCACTTTTGGACTCTCGCTTGCTGAGGTGTTCCAGCGAGTGTCTCTGTAGATCTTAGAAAACTATTTCTTGATTTAAGTCGTTGACATGCTGGCTGATACCCAAACAAGGGATGAGCTGGAGATGTCTCTGCCTTGGTCCTTTCACTATTGGCTGCTACTTCCCAGTGGATGTCAGGTGGTGCAATACCGGCTAAGCAGTGTAATTTCTCCAGTGGTGTAGGGCGCAGACACCCCGTGATAATGCGGCATGTCTCATTAAGAGCCACATCCACTGTTTTAACATGGTAAGATGTATCCCACACTGGGCATGCATACAGCAGCAGAGTAGCAAAGCACAAGGGTAAGTGTCTTCACTGTGTCTGGTTGTGATCCCCAGGTTGTGTCAGTCAGCTTTCATATGATATTATTTCTAGCACCCACTTTTTTTCTTGATATTCAAGCAGTGCTTCTTATAAGTCCAAAGTAACTCCCAGTTATTTTGGTGTGCTGCAATGTTGTTGTTCATTCGTCAGTAGTCTCCGACTCTTCGTGACCTCATGGACCAGCCACGCAGAGCTCCCTGTCGGCCGTCACCACCCCCAGCTCCTTCAAGGTCAGTCCAGTCACTTCAAGGATGCCATCCATCCATCTTGCCCTTGGTCGGCCCCTCTTCCTTTTGCCTTCCACTTTCCCCAGCATAGTTGTCTTCTCTAGGCTTTCCTGTCTCCTCATGATGTGGCCAAAGTACTTCAACTTTGTCTCTAGTATCCTTCCCTCCAATGAGCAAGGGCTTTATTTCCTGAAGTATGGACTGGTTGGATCTTCTCACAGTCCAAGGCACTCTCAGCACTTTCCTCCAGCACCACAGTTCAAAAGCATCGATCTTCCTTCGCTCAGCCTTCCCTGTGGTCCAGCTCTCACACCCATAGGTGACTACGGGGAATGCCATTGCTTTAACTATGTGGATCTTTGTTGCCAGTGTGATGTCTCTACTCTTCACTATTTTAACAAGATTTGTCATTGCTCTCCTCTCAAGAAGTAAGTGTCTCCTGATTTCCTGGCTGCAGTCTGCATCTGCAGTAATCTTTGCACCTAGAAATACAAAGTCTGTCACAGCCTCCACGTTTTCTCCCTCTAGCTGCCAGTTGTCAATCAGCCCGGTTGCCATAATCTTGGTTTTTTTGATGTTTAATTGCAACCCAGCTTTTGCCCTTTCTTCTTTCACCTTGGTTAGAAGGTTAGAAGGTCCTCAGCTCCTCCTCGCTTTCAGTTAGAAGGTTAGAAGGCTCCTCAGCTCCTCCTCGCTATCAAAATCTGCACATCTAAAGTTGTTAATGTTTCTTCCAGCAATTTTCACTCCAGCCTTGCATTCCTCAAGCCCAGCACATTGCATGATGTGTTCTGCATACAAGTTGAATAGGTTGGGGGAGCGTATACATTTATATGCCGCCCTTCTCACCCCAAAGGGGACTCGGAGCGTCTTACAAGATGCATACAATATATATTATTAACAGTACAATATTAGAAGTAGACCTTGACATATGCGAGTTGTAGTTGTTCATTCGTTCAGTCGTCTCCGACTCTTCGTGACCTCATGGACCAGCCTACGCCAGAGCTCCCTGTCGGCTGTCACCGCCCCAGCTCCTTCAAGGTCAGTCCAGTCACTTCAAGGATGCCATCCATCCATCTTGCCCTTGGTCGGCCCCTCTTCCTTTTGCCTTCCACTTTCCCCAGCATAATTGTCTTCTCTAGGCTTTGCTGTCTCCTCATGATGTGGCCAAAGTACTTCAACTTTGTCTCTAGTATCTTCCCCTCCAGTGAGCAGCCGGGCTTTATTTCCTGGAGGATGGACTGGTTGGATCTTCTCGCAGTCCAACGCACTCTCAGCACTTTCCTCCAACACCACAGCTCAAAAGCATCGATCTTCCTTCGCTCAGCCTTCCCTAAGGTCCAGCTCTCACATCCGTAGGTTACTACAGGGAATACCATGGCTTTGACTAGGCGGATCTTTGTTGCCAGTCTGATGTCTCTACTCTTTACTATTTTATCGAGACTGGACATTGCTCTCCTCCCAAGAAGTAAGCGTCTTCTGATTTCCTGGCCACAGTCTGCATCTGCAGTAATCTTTGCACCTAGAAATACAAAGTCTGTCACGGCCTCCACATTTTCTCCCTCTATTTCCCAGTTGTCAATCATTTTTGTTGCCATAATCTTGGTTTTTTTGATGTTTAGCTGCAACCCAGCTTTTGCATTACATTAATATATTGTACAATACCATTATATTGTAATATTATTGGTAATATTACATGTAATATAAAACATATAATTATAATATCATATTATTATTATTAGTATTATATTGTAGTACATTATAATATTATAAATATTATATGTATGAATATATTATATTATATTATATTATAAGGTGGAACTGGGGGGACATATGCAGGAGACAAGATGGAACTGTCCCCTAGAGTTGAAGTCCAAAACACCTGGTGGGCCCAGGTTTGCCCATGCCTGATAAACATGGTTGAACAGAAGTTCTCCGAAGCTTTAGGTGTTCTTACAGTTTATTATAACGGGAACCAACTGATTCCTAATCCATCCAAAACACAAACGTGCTTTTCACCTTAAGAACAGACAAGCGTCTTGAGCTCTGAGGATTACCTGGGAAGGAGTCCCACTGGACCATTGCAGCACACCCAAATACCTGGGAGTTACTCTTTACTTACAAGAAGCACTGCTTGATTATCTGGCCAAAAATGGGTGCTAGAAATACGCAGGTGGGGCAAAAAGTTTTGCCTCTTGCATCATAAAAATATTATAAATGAACATTTAACAGCAGAAGTTGCTGCAGATCATAGCCTGAACTGTTCTCTATCCAAACTATCATTCAACATGGTCACCATCAATTTGTACACATTTGCACCAGAGATATACAGAAACCGCATCCTTAGATGCCAAAGATGTTATGTTAGCCACCGAGTCATGGGTAGAGTTGCAATTGTGGAAAAATCATGTGCAATATTTCAGACTACAGCTTAACATCTCAAAAAAGTACATGGAATGTGGACCAACAGTAGAGAATGGCTCCATTAATATCAATGGCACTGACCTCAACAAAGTGACCAGCTTTAAATACCTCGGCTCAAAGATAACCTCTGTCTGCGAAATATTGTCAGTTGCTCACGGACATGTAATCTCCATATGGATGAAGTGGAGAGCAATGACAGATGTAATGTGTGATAAGAAGATCCCAATCCACCTAAAATTGAAAATCTACAGGACGATGGTGAGACCAGTTGCTCTATACACCACTGAGTGTTGGCCGAACACTAAGGCCGTTGAGCAAAGTCTGGACACCTTCAATGGATGTTAACCTGAAGGACAGGTTTCCAAACAATACAGTGCACTCCATCTTTGGCAGTTTAATAAACTTTTTGATAAATTGGATATGGCAGTGTTAGATAACCCAGTTCAAAGCAGATATTGTGAATTATCTGCCTTGATATTCTGGGTTATATCAGAAGCAGACAGAAGGTGGCAGCAGAACAGAGCAGCTGCTGAGACAGAAGACAGCCTGGAGCGCTAGAGAAAAGGCAGAAAAATGTCTTGATGAAATTAATGATATACTATCGATTAATATACCAAAAATCCAAATATAGCACTTCTATTAAATTTTAGAGACATAAGATTGAAATGGCAGAATAAAGAATTAATAGTCTTGAAACCTATCTTGAGATGGGAACAAAGCTCAGGATTCCCACCCAAACAACTTTGTGTTTTTTTAATACATTATAACTTTATTCTCAATTTGCTTCTAACATGATAAATAAGTCTGAGCAGTATTTCTCATCCAATGCTGGCTGTTCATAGCTACTTAAGAAGGCCTGCATCCCATGCCATTGTTCAGCCATGAGTCCCCAGACCTCCCCATTATTGTAGACACTGGGCTAGGAAGCTGTATCTCCATTAAAAGCAACATGGCCTGTACATAGAAGAAGATGTGTTACTTCCATGGAATGGTTTTGGGGAAATGAATGTCCTCTTCCTCTGCTGTTCCCACAGGTACGAACTGAAGGCTCAGATAAGAGCTGTGTCACCTTTGTGCTCCACAATGAGGACCACACTCTTGGCAACTCCCTCCGGTACATGATCATGAAAGAGTAAGTATCTTTCTTCTTAATGAAGTGCCTATTAAATTAACAACAGAAGAACTTTTCTGTCAGGAATCACAGCTTGGATTGGGCCATAGATCCTTAGAAACAGCCTTTCAGCATGGCCAACAATAGTTTGGAGATTCTGAGACCCAAATAAGTAATTTTCCCATTATTTTTTTTATAAACATGAAAGAAAATTAATGTTTGGTAAAGTGTTCTGCCTCCGATTCCATTTTATGGCCCCATTGGTCTTAAAATAGGAAGCCTTTCTTCTACTGATTTGGTGGTAGATGTGTCAAATTTGCGGGTGCTCTTCCAAGCTCAGTCCCATTACAGTATGTAACACAATTTTTTCTTGGGTTATAAATGTCATTTCCTGATTAGTTCTGTTGTAAAATGGAAAAGGTTTATTAAACTGAAAAAATGTTGGTTTTGCGGGACATCCTGCACCACATTTTGCTATAGTTTTTCAATGAATATCTCCTCAAGTCTCAACCAATTCAACTTAGTTTGTGGTAGCCACAAAAACAAAGTTTCTGGAGTAGAACAATGACTTTCAAAGTAAATACTTCACAATTAAACTGGAAATAACACTTTCAAACCAGGAACAGAAAATATTTCAAAGTGAAATAATTGCTTGCTGTTGGTATCTAGTATGTATTTGTGTGTGTTGAGCTCCATTCAGTTAAGGTGCAGGATCTATTTTTTCCCTTACAGAATGAGGAGCAGAATTCTTGATCAATTTTAAGAGTTGTATACATTCCACTTTCTCTGTTGGTTTATTTCATGTCCAGTGTTGTGGCTCAGTCTGATTCTGAGTCTGAAACTGAACTGTTTGGGCCTTCTGGGCCTGGGCCTTCTGAGCCTGACTTTCTGCAGGATGACGATGAGGTTGATGGGTTGCAGATTCCTGTACATGCTCCAGACGGGGCTGATAGTGTGCCTTCTGAAGAAGAAACAGCAAGCCTGTTCCCCGAGGAAAGGAATGTGCCTTTAGAAAGAGACAGTGAAATCCCACAAGTGTAGGTGGAGACTCCTTTCGGTTCCCAGAGTGATCCGGCCCAGCTGGGCAGAGATAAGGAGTTGTATAGCCTTGAAGATAATGGTGAATTAATGAGCAGACAGGACTATTTGCAATTAAGGGTTCGCAGAAGCACACGCCTTGCTAGCAAGAGGGAAGCCAAAGATCAACGCAATGCTTTCATGACTGGGAAGCTTATTTAATGATGTAGCTGACAGGCATTTCTTGTCAGTCCAATGTAGCTTCTTACCCGTTAACTTCTGTGGAATTGCCTTAGCTTTTGTGGAACGCTTCTGGCTTCTTGGAGACTGGTATTCTGATCCTGATTTTTCCTGTTTGCCATGGACTCTTGTTTGACCATTGCTAAGGGTTAAACAATGCTTCATGTTATTTGCCTGTGGATCTTGGGAACCTTGCCTTTGCATTTAAGACTCTGTTTTGCCTATTGAACTTTTGCATCTTTATTTCTCTGTTTTGATTTTGCTTTTTCTCAATAAACTACAAAACCACAGCCTTGGTGTGTGCTGGTGTCTTGTGCAAGGTGAAAACTACCCTGAGTTGCGACATCCAGCTCCTACTGTCTTATCTCTCATGTCCAAACTGCTGATAGTATTTGCTCTGAATCTCTCCCTCCCCACTATAATCTTGTCTTTGTTTCATTGCAGCCCTGAAGTAGAGTTCTGTGGTTATAGTATCACGCATCCTTCTGAAAGCAAAATCAACTTCCGCATTCAGACCAAAGGTGAAGTATCTATTGCATCCTACTGGAGAGATAACACTGCTCATTCCACCTGACTTAGAGTGCATCCCTACTGTAGAATACAACTTGACACCACTTTGGCTTAATGCTATGGAATCCTGGAAGTTGTTGTTTGGCGAGGCAAAAGCATTATTTGGCAGAGAAGGCTCAAAACCTTGTGAAAAAACAGTACCTATAATTCCATTGCATTAAGACCTGACAGTTAAAGTGGTATCAAACTGTATTAATTCTGCAGTGTAGAAGCTCACATGTTAAAAATTAGATCAGCTTGTATAGTTAGCCCCCTTTATGACTCATAGTAGCCTTGTTGTATAATCCTTCCTTTAGTTCTTAACAAGTCTTTGTTAAAATTCTTTTTCCCTTTATGTTTAAATTTCATTTAGGAAATAGGTGCTTCTGAAGGAAGTTCCTTCCTGCCATCTTCCGTGGCAGGAAAAAGTCTGGATTTCCCATGAAGTTAAATGGAAGGAGGTTGTCTACTCGATTTAAATCTCAGCAGTTCAGTGATGATTCATTGGTCTCTTTGCAGTTTGTTTTCAGAGAGTTACTGATTATCTGTGGCTATATTTTTCCTGTAGTTATTGTTTGCAAAGCATGTTTATTTGGAAGCATGCTCTTCACAGGAAAATTTACTGGGATCCATTTGGGTTTTGTATCCCTACTTCTGGAGCGGAAAGGAGGGGCTAACGTACTCTAGATCACTGTCTACCTGTAGCAGAAAAGGAAGCTTCCTCTTGAGTCATTTTTTTCTTCATTTAGGAGGCATTCCTGCGGCTGAAATGTTCCAAAAGGGGCTGGAGGAGCTCGTCGGTGTGTGCCAGCATGTATTAAGCACATTTGAGGTCAGTCTGCCAATTCCAATGGTTCTCAACCTGTGGGTCCCCAAATGTTTTGGCCTTCAACTCCCAGAAATCCTAACAGCTGGTAGGCTGTATGTCAGAACACCTGGGGACCCACAGGTTGAGAACCACGGGTCTATTCCCTTCTTCTTGCAAACTTACAATGAACTAATGCCACAATATTTCTGTTGCCTACGGTTTTGTTTATTCTATCCAATTAGTTTCTACATAATGTTATATTTTGTTGTTGTGTTTTTGGATTTGTGTGAGGTTAAATAGAAAGATTAAAAATAACAACAAAAGTCAGTTTGAATTATCTATGTAATGAGATTTTATTGAGCATAAGCCATGAATTTTAAATTTAGATTCTATTTTAATTATTATTCTATCTGTTTTAATAGAAATGTGTTTCAATATATGCATTGTATTGAATATATTTTACAATTATGTGTTTTATGGACCATCGGCTAATAAATAAAATTACAGCTATTATTTATGATGATGATGATGCTGATGATGATAATAATAATGCCTGAGATGATGAGAATGATAACAAAAATGTTGCCTGAGATTATGGGAGATGTGAATCATATTTTGATGATTTCAGTTGAGACATGCAGTTGTACACATTGGTCATGCACAGGACAGGAAAGGCAATGGCAAGTAGCATCTCTGTAATATAAACCATCTTTTCTCAGGGATACTACATTAGATATGAAGTCCACATAGTTGTATAAAATTCCACATTATCTGATTTGAACTGGGCTAAATGGCAATGTGGACTCAGTTAACCCAGTTCAAGGCAGATATTACCTGCCTTGATATTCTGGGTTATATGGCTGTGTGGAATAGATGTCCCAGTGGCATGATTTCTGAACCACAAACCCTTATCCGTGGTCTTTGTCTATTCTGTTCCAGGCAAGTGTGGAAGAATACAAGACCCAGATGGATACGAGTATGGAGTAACCACTATGCAATGCCTCAATGGACATCACTGTACATATACTGCTTTGGGACTGATTTCTGGGAAATATTTTTGTTTTATTTAATATATATTGAGGTACTTTTCTAATAAATACTGGAAAATTCTCCCCTTCTCCTTGCATTTATGAATGCTATTTTTTTTCTGGGAAGTGTTCAGAATTCTGGCTTAAATCCAAAGGAAGAAGCTTCTCCCACCAGTAGAATTGTGTTGGAGAAATTCTGCAACCCCTAATTTAGCCTCTATGGATTAACTGTGTGGCCTCATAGACAATATTCCTGTCTTTCAAGAAGAAAGCTCAGTAGTTGAAAGTCCCACTTTCAATTCCTGCTACAGGCAGTCCCCTAGTTGCAAACAAGGTAGGTTTTGTAGATTTGTTCTTAAATTGAATTTGTTTGTAGGTCAGAACAGGTACATTTTTAAGTGTAACTCCTGCCAATAAGTTGTTGTTGTTGTTATTATTGGCTGAAGTTAAATGTACCTGCTGTGATTTACAAACAAATTATTGACTGAAGATAGATAGATAGATAGATAGATAGATAGATAGATAGATAGATATAGCTATAGCTATAGCTATAGCTATAGCTATAGCTTTGGATGGCATAGGGAAGGATTAACACCCCTGTGGTGTTTCCTTTGCTGTCTGTCCCTGTTCAGAACCTCACTTTCTGTCCCTGTGATAATGGTTTTTTGGAAAATTTGGCTTGGCATGGAAACAAGGATTGATGGTAAAGCTTCAGTGGAGACCCCTTTTACCCATGATAATAATTTTTCAGTAGTGAATTTCTCTTCCAAGGAGTAGATTTCTCTCACTTCCTGTTGTCTCATTCCTGTTCTTAACTATGATTCATTTGTAAATTGGATGTTTGTAACTCAGGGGCTGCCTGTATTTCCAAATAAAGGAAGCAAGTAGATACTGACGGGAAAGACATTTCTCTGTCTGAGATCTTAAAGATTTGTTTCCAGCCAAAATAGACAACACCGGGCTTCAAAGATGAATGTTTTGATTTGATAAGGGGTGTCTTTGTAGTTGTTCAATTCATTTTGTACCTACCAGAGACGGGTTTGCAACTTACGCTATCCCTTATGTGTTAGGCTCTGGAACTCAGGGAGTGTCTGTGTGACATCTGTGTTCTCTAGAGGAACATGTGAGATCAATGAATTCAGTAGAGGTATTAAGTATTTAGTAGATTCCTGACTCTCCTCCTCCCTTTCCTGGTTTGCTGTTAATAAGAAGGTCTCCATATCTTTCATACCTGGAAAATGTTTCATTCATGCTGAGCTGAAAGAATGGCTAGGCTCTGGATGTCACCATTTGCTATAGAATGGCTCTGTACCCTTCCAATTGACAGACATGGTCCCAGATGTAGGTTGATGCTGTCTCCACCTTTGGAAACGGTTAGGTCGGCTGAGTCCCCTATACTCAGGACTTCACAATGAGGCTGCTTCTTATTTCAGGCTCTTTTTCTAATATTTCTGCCACTGAGATAATTTGACAGAGATGACTTCTCAAAATATTAGGGCCCAGTGACCTTAACACAATTCTATCACAACTTCTTGGCAAAAAAATAAAAATAAAATCAGAGGGTTTCTTCCATTGGCTTGCTTTGAGGATTAGAGAGCATGGCTTCCCTAAAGTCATCCAGTGGGTTTTCATGTTCAAGTGTAGATGCAACTCCTAGTTTCCAGAGTTATCCAATGCTCAATGTAGTTTAGATCCAGGACCTCTCTGGCTGAGCATTTTAAAGGCTCCTACCCTAAACTACAAGCCCTAGAATTCTGCTGGAGGAATATCAGAAATATTAAAAATTAGCTATATATTTTTAATTACAAAAATGTGAGTCAAGCACTGGAAGGATTAAATGGATGTAATGACTCAGCAAAAGTTGCAGTTCTATATAAGCAGTTGTTCATGTAGCCTAGTAGCCTCAGTCTGTGAGAGGTCTCTGTGAAAGAAGAGCCTCATTGTGTTGGTAGGCCTCAGTATGAGTAGGCCTCAGTGTTAGTTTGCCTCAGTGTGTGAGAAGGCCTCAGTGGTGGGAGAAAAGCCTTAGTGAGAGAAAGGCCTCAGTGTGAGGTAGGTCTCTGTGTTAGTTTGCCTAAGGTTAAGTAGGCCTCAGTGTGTGAAGGCTGCTGTGTGTAAAAAGTATTGTGTGAACTTCCTGTGTAACTTGGGTGTGAGAAAAGGCTCTGTGAGAGCAAAGCTGTTTATCTGCATGAGAAAGAAGCCTAGTGGGGAAGCAAAGAAGAAAGTACAGTGTGAGGCAGCATAACTTCCTTTTTTAAAATGTGCGCCATTCAGTCGGTTGAAGACGTAGTGGAGCGCTAGTGGTCTCCTTCGAGAGGCGGGAGTATAAAGTTTTGTCCTGACACAGTTCGGTCATCATCATGCGTTGGAACAGTGAGGAGTGTGATTTTGCCATTGAGGCGTACTTTTCGAGCGGATTTGGAGTGGCCGGCCGTTCTCCAGATTTGGCCCTCTGTGATTTTTTTCTCTGGGGTTTTTTGAAATCCCAGGTTTATGTGAACCGTTCAAGGACCCTACAAGATTTGAAGATCAACATCCAGGAAGAAATTGCCAACATAACGCATGCTATGCTGGCAAGAGTCATGACAAACGCCAGAAATCGGTTTACTCAGTGTATGGAGAATGGGGGACATCACCTACCTAATTTGATCTTCAAAACTACGTAAAACAAAACTTTAGGTATGCGCCTACATTATAAAAAAATAAAATAAAATTTTCTAATTCATACAATGGGTTTTATTAAGTTTTGAAAAAAGGAAGTTATGCTGCCTCACCCTGTATAAAGAACTTTATTTGTGTCATAGAAACCTTGTTCTTGTAAATAGTGCAAACATATTATTTTACTACAAAGAAAAGCCTCCTAAGGAAGAGATAACATTGGTCTTTGTGTTTTTGTTCTTTTTTTTATCACTTTGGGCTACTGGTGCTGGATCACACTGCTGCTGATAAGTTACTCTGCTGCCCATTTATGAAGAGGGTCTTTTGTTAATAAGCCAACTCACTCAACAAGGATTTCAAATAGGATGCATACTCTTCCAGCTCTAGTGAAACTGCCTACTCTTCCAGCTCTAGTGAAACCGGCCCATCTTTTTCTCCAGGATGAACATAACCATCTCCCTTAGTTGTTCCTTATAGTCTTATTCCAGATATTTACTCTCTTGGCAGCCCTCCTACAGACATCGCAGAGTGTGTTGATATCCTTATTCAACCATGGTGTTAAAACAAGTATGAGTTGTGTATTGATTTTGATTGATGATAGTAGATCAGGAGGGAGATGGCCCGTAATTCCTGCAATCTCTAGCCACCATGTTGTCCAGATTGTGATGAAATCAATTTAAAAAAAAGAATGTGACAAAGTCCATTAATGTTTTAATCCAAAATAAGCCTATCTACAGGACAGCTACAACAACTACAATACAGTCATTACACCAAATCACAAACATTAGTCATAAAAATACTATGGAGAGACCCACATAATTGTGGTGTCAATGGTGACACGTTCACTTGTACGCAATTATGAGCTCAAAGCTTACTGTTTCTTTTGGATATCTATTGCACAGCTGGCCTATCCAACCAGAGTGGCCTGGTTGCATAGGACTTGCAATCCCATTATTCAAACCAGCATACAGCCTTCTCTTTTATGGAAGACATATGTTGTTGTAATGAATTAGGGTTACTAGTTAAGCTTTGGACATTGCACAAGTTGTGTTGCAGAAGCCTGCTTCTGAGCTCTCTGGGACCATTTCCAAGAAAATTGCAGTATTAGGGACTGCAACTTTATTCTCAAAGAGTGAGATGCAAGATGGCATGGGCAGGAAATAACTCCTCCACACACATATAGCACTCTAGTCATTATGTAAAACTATCTGTGCCTTGAAGTCATTTCTTAATTACGGTAACACAAAGGTAACTTTATCACAGGGTTTTCTGGAGCTGAGACTATGTACTCACTAGTGGGCTTCCGTGGCCAGATGGGGAATTGAGTGTCACAGTCTAATACTCAAACCATGACATTATCCTACTGGCTCTGAAAACTGAACACCTATTTGAAACCCAAACTTAATAGTACAATATATACATGCCACACAGGAGAGAGAAGCTGCTCTACATACATAGAGGGAGGAAAAAAATACAATGTTTGAAAACTTTTTAAAAAATGCACACAAAACAATTGAGCATTGGGTTGCTAAATACCAAAATACAGCTGCCTAGCGGTAAGCTATCCAATGGAAGATTGGATGAGAGGCTGAAGGAATGAATAGGAATGCATTCAGAAAAACTGTTCATGGTGCAGAAAAATGTGAAAGGTGTGGATTATCAGAATCTTTGGCATTATATCTTCTGGGAATGTGGGGTAGGAGTATCTCCAAACTTAGGCAAATGGCCTTCTTGGAGACTAGTAACAGGAAGTGGTGTCAGGAGTGCATTGACCTCTGATATTTCAGAAGGTGACTATAAGATCCTCAACCTGGTGGTCTCTAGTCATGTTGAACTATGCTTAACTTGTTTCCATCACTCTAACCACTGAGTGTTGATTCTATGGCTATGTTGATGATGAGTGAAAGAACCTACAGTCTAAAATCTATAGAGACCTAGATTGGGGAGTTAAACTGCAACATTGGTGACTGATGGACATCAAAACCAACTCTATCCCATTGTCAAACAACACCTCCTATGATCATGGCCACTGTGGTGAATCGGATTTGTAACCCAACACATCCAATTGCTGCTACCCTGGGGAGTTGCCTCAGTATTGGGTTGCTGTGAGTTTTCCCATGTATGGCCATGTTCCAGAAGCATTCACTCCTGAAATTTCACCCACATTTATGGCAGGCATCCCCAAATGTTGAGTGGTCACTTTTGAGTCTTGAGAGCAATACTCAAAAAGCAGGGGAATTCCAGACTTATGTGACACTGCATTTAAATGCACAGAGTAGCACATAAGGCACATTGCATCCTCTATGCATCGTCAATATACATTATAATTGCAGAGCATGAAATAATGCAACATTCAAGGCCAGCTAA